GACCCCTCCTCTGATATGTGTCGGTTCTTGGGTATTGAGAAGAACGATCTCAAGGAATGTCTCAAGCATATTGGCTATGTGATAGCCAGCTGCAAATGGTGCCCTGCAGGAAGCCAGGATGGAGTGGTGTGAATTGAAGTCTTGTGGTGCAGTAGCACAGCCCTGGCTTATGTCTAAGCTCCTAAAAAGTGGCCTGTTGTACACTTTGTACATTGTGCTATTGAGATTCACCCGGCCAGGTGAATCTCAACAACAAGAGTCACATCTCCACGGTGCGGTGCATCGGAAATTGCGTAGCAGGGGATTGTTGCTCTGGTCAGGGTGATCAAGCCTCTTTTGCCAGCTATGTGTGGCAGCATGAAGAAGTGAAAAGTGTCCTCTATCAAAGTTCTTTGATCACACTCTTGCGTGGTGGATGGCATTTCTCGTATAGAAGCCATTGATGTTCTACTACAGTATGCTTAGATTGTGTGTCATGATGTTACTTGGTGTTAGTTACGTCTGAGACATCATTGTATTCTGATTGAGATATGTCGGAGTATGACAACTCCATTGTAAAGTACTCACTGATTGAGGGATCTTCATCTGTTTTTGGGATATTTGTCAAGCTATCCATGGCTCCACTGGGGGGTGGAGGGCTTTTGGTAGCTCTGACTTTTGTTAGTTTGGCTTTTCTTATTTCAGGCTTCGTCTGTGTGTCTGTCTTTTCCTTTGTTGGCTTTTCCTGAGTAAGGTCAGCCTGTTCTAACACTGGCTGCACAGATTTAGTTTGGTTTGGCTCTGCCTGTGAGGTATAGCCAGGGTTGGGGTGAGGAGGGGAGTCTCATCCTGGGGTGAGGTGGCTGGTTTGGCTCTGTCCAGCTTCCTTCCCTTCAGGATTGAAACAGTCTGAGTTATTGCTGTCATGGCGACCATGACTGCCTTTTCCACCTCCTCACTCAACCTCCCCAAGGCTGTTGCTATTGTAGTGACTACAGCAGTCAGCGGGAGAATCATATTTTCCTTATCAAATGGGAGATTGTCGTCTCTTGGGTGGCTTTATTCCTCTGGTTCTTTTTCTGCACTTCTGGAATACCCGGAAACTCCTTTTTATTGGAGATATACGGTGTTGGCTGGGGAGGAACTTCTTTCCTCTTAGGAGGTCGGGAAGCCTTTTCTCTTTTGTTCTGGCTAGGGGAGTAGGAAAAAAATCTGGTCGCTTTTTAGCAACTTCTTGTCGTCTGAGGGCCGCCTCTTTCCTGACAGAGCAAGCCAAGCTCCAGGCGTGATGCCTCTTGGAACAATTGGGACATTTGGCTGTTGTGCCCCTTTGTCCTTCCTCGTGTTTTTTTAAGGCACACCTCGGTGTTGAGTGCCTAGCTACAGACACCAGATTTGGGCTTGGATTTGCAGCTAGCCTGGTGGTGCCCGTATTTTTGCCAGTGGCTCAGACACATAGGTTCTTAGATTGAAAGTGCCCCAGTTACCCAGATCAGGGTAGTGATTGGGGCTCCTTTCAGGGTCACCAGGACTTGCCTGGCTGGAGTCTTCCCTTTCGACTTTCGGGAAGCCTCCACGACCTGTGGGTGTGATGTGATCAGATCCATATCATCCGAAACTGAGAAGCCAAGTAGCACCATCTTGACTCTTGAAGCTCCTTCGTTTCCTGCAGGAAATTCAGGGTAGCTTGGTCTTTAGGCACATTAATCATGCCCTGGTCTCTGGCAACCTGGAGTGACAGCTGGATTTTTCTCCACATCTCCATTGCACTGACCAGTTGGTAGGCATTGTTGAAGCTTTCAAGTTTAGAGGGAACCTTAAAATGCCTAGGGGGTCCAGGCTCTCCCTCATAGCCTGTCTCCATTCTAGGTCCAAGCCCTTTTGGCTTGGATTTTGGGCTCTAGTCATGGGAGCAGCAGTTGTTTTGGCTGTTTCAGCTTGTGCTTCTATCTCGGTCAAAGAGGACGTCTGAGGGGAATTCATAGGTCTCCCTGATTTGCAAATTCCGTTCGAGCGTATTTTTTGTAGCGTACATAAGTATTCCATATTTTCTAACAGAACGTAAATGTGAACGTTTATTTCTGATTAATCCATAGCTATTGGTGACTATTGCTAAATATCCAATGTTGAAGGAATTGGGGAGACTTAATCAGATAGGAACGAAATTTATCATATTTTATACAGGTTTACCAATGTGAACATTTGTGAGATGGACGCATACATACAAAGTATAGGTTAATAATAGGATAAAGAAATGTGAAAAACAAATCGCAATGTAAATTACTAGAATATGTAGCTAGTAAAGAAAAATAGAAATACTAGAATGATTATAGAATAGTTATTAAAAAAAAAAAAAAGATATTTGGCATATTGTTAAATCATCTTTCCATCAGCCACTCTTTGCAAAAGAAAAAAAAATGAAAGCAAAAGATAAGAATGAAAAGATAATGCGAGAGAAAGGAAAGAAGCCCTAACAGAATGGAAAAAATAAAAGGAAACGCCCCATCAAGTCATCTATAGC